AAAAAAAAAAAAAGTGAATCCCTACCTACCGACCCTAATTTTTTCTGGACTGTAATAGGAAACACAACATTTATTTTGTTAGGCCTTACCTAGATGCGGAAACTTCATCAACATTTGTTCTGTCATGTTTGTTCCAGCTGACTGCAGCGTCTGATGACATGACTCTTCAGAACCTGATCCAGTTCCTGGTGGACAGGGAAGCCTGTCGCAGGACACTGTGTGAAGATCTCAGCAGGAAACGTAGGTTCTGGCTGTTTTTCCAAGGTCTTGAAGTGGACAGTAATATCGACGAACAGTCTGAAAGAGTTGTACAGTATGCAGCGCTTGAAATACTATGGATGACATCCTCTGAAAACCCCAAAACTAAATTTAAATGCAAGCGGGCGAATAAAAAAAAGTCCAGCCAAAATGAAATGCCGCTAAACCACAGGAATGCAAAGCTGGTATAATTGGGAAGTTGTGTTTGTACATGACTACATTTACAAGCCGGCACATGCTGGCCTTTTGTGGCATTTAGACGTTTGCACTGTGCTTAGTGCTAGATTTCCATGGAGCCCCTGTAGCCTGAGTTGAGCGTTCTCCGTAGTTACCACCGGCTCCCTTTTGTTGGTAGCCACAATGGAGTACGGAGGATGGCACCTAGGCGCATGCTTCAGGACTTTTTTTTAGAACAGTCGAAAATCAGTGCGCACGCGGATGTCATCCATAGAACCAAATCAGTGTGACCTTGGCTTTATCAAAAAAAACTTTCTGATCCGTACTAGTTCTATAACTATGACGTTGATTGTTTTTGGTGTTCTGATTATGCAGATGAGGTTATGCGGACACAGCTGCTTGACTTGGAGAAGAACAACATAGTTCTCCGACAGGTTAGTGTGCTTTTGATAATGTGTTTAAACTTTATTTTGCTTTGCAGAAAGATTGTAATAAGTTTTTGGGAAAGTGTTGGTGTTGTTAGGTCTATGTTGAGAGTACTAACTGTAACAGTAGCTATACTGTGATCAGATAGGTTCACTCCAGAACTAAGACTTTGTTGGAATATAATAACTGTTGTATAATTGACTCTAACCCTACAGGAGATGGAGAGCCTCCAAGAACAGCTGTCTGGGAAGGGAAAGGATCTGGAGAGAGCGAAGAAGAAGATAGAAAACTTGGAGTACAAGGTCAAAATACTTTTGTTTTTTTGTTACATGCCAAGTTGGCAAACATTTTACATGTAATTTGAATAATCTATACGCCAAATGAGTTCACCCTTTGGTCTTCTCTAGATATACAACAATAACATTAGATATCATAAGAAAAGATAAAACACAAATTAAACTTGCTATGACAAAGGGAATTTTGTTGTCCAAATCTTTGTTCCAAATCTATGTTCCATAGATTTGGATAGAGACAGTTATGATGTGTTACTTAAATATTATCATATAAAATGATAATAGCTGGAGAGATGGTATTGTATAAATAATGTTGAATCATGTTAATCCTGCACATTACTTGACAGTTCCTGCCATGTCTTACAGAATGAAGTGTTGCGCAGAACTGCTCAGCTGTATGATGAAGAGAAGAAGGAGATGGAGAGTGAGGTACATGTACTGGCTGATGTCCCGGCTGTCATGTGATGTTTAGTACTTACACAGGTTGACAGGAAAGGACATAATGTGCACCTGTCATTGCTACTTTTTGGTTAAGGCTAAACGTTGTCAAGGACAGATGTATTTTAGTATTGGTACGCTGACATTCCCAATTGCTAACATCGCATGCACACTTACATGTATTTTGCACGGATTTTGTACTGATCTTATTAATATGTAGGCTATGTTTGTTGCCACTGACTTTGCTAATTAAAAAGGACCGGTTTAAACCGGAACGACATTCTGGAACCGAGTCCAAAAAAACGAAACGCGAAAACTGGATCATCGGACCTGATGTACATTTCTAGAGATTACACCCACATCTTAAGATAATCTGGCCATGGCAGGTAAAGAAAATAACCCTGAATCAAACTAGATTGGCCTTAATCCATGTTTGTCTCTTTCTGTAACTGTGTTCAGCTTCAATATACAAAATTGTACAGCTTGAACATAATATATAACACACTAGTGAGTCACCTGTACTCATGTTTCGCACTCCAAAATATGATATAGTACTACTGTACAATAATCAGGTCTGGACCTGGACCTGATCCTCTGAACTTGATCCAGACCTGGACCTGAATTTTCTATACAGGTACCCACCCCTAGGTCACAAAACTGTTAGCCTGGCCAGTATGAACTTTGAAAAGGTTGCTTTGCATGGGAAAAAAAATGATAACTATATCTGGGCTACCTGGTGTCTCCAAAAAGTGAAAATGACTTGCGTGGCAGTAGTGGGTTTTCCAACCCTGCTACACTCTTCCAGACATTGTCGTTTTATTTTATGTTTTATTTTATTGAAATTAAAATTGCAACAATGCAATACAAGCGAACAGAGGCAGCTGTTGCTGGTGTTGTGTCATGCACATTGAAACGTATACTGGACAGACAAAACTCATTTTCACTTAAGTCTAGTGGGGAAAGCCGTGTTAAGTGCCTTTTCCAAGGGCACAAGATCGGTGGCATGTCAGGACTCGAACCCGGGTACTCTTGATTCCGAGACATTGTTGTTTTTATTTGCCATGTTGCTTGAATGAACCTTGTTTTTGTTTTTTGGACAGTTGAAAAGTAAGGACCATCAGATCACCAGTCGCACAGCGGAGTCCAGGCGTCTGCGTCAGACCATGAAAGCCATAGAACAGACTAAAGACGCCAAGTGGGAGAAGGAATGTGTGAGTACAACATGAATCCTCAGGGCTCCTTGTCCCTGGCTGTCTCATTGCTGGTAGTGGTAGCATTTTCCCTGGTCTTCAGGTAGAATACTTCCATGTCAAGTGATCTGTGTTTACTTTTAAATTAAGTTCTAATAGTAATACTATGGTTGGGCAGCCCATCCACTAGTGGGCATATATAATGATATTGAATATTTAGATGTCTGTGTCAGAGTTGAAAAATTTATAGAATACAACACGGTGTACAAGTATTCCTTATCACCCGAGGTACCAGGCCGACCACTGGGCGGATCACCCGAAGGCCGGAGGGAGATCCAACCTGTGGGAGGGCTGGGACCGAGGGTGATGCGGAGTACACTGTGTTGTATTCTATTTCTGTCATACCCATCCAAAAAAACATGCCAGTCCCTAGTCAAAAGCTAGATCCGTGCTGCATGCGTGCCGCACGTCATGGGCACTTACTGGGCACTTTTGGCACCCATGCAGCACAAGTCCAGTTCCCTCTGGGCTGTGGCATACGTGCCACACAGGTCCTCTCACAATTAATCATCATTAATCACCCAGACTAGCAGGACTGCCTTCCCTGCCTGAATCACATGTCAACTTCTTCCCCTCATAGGGGGTCAGCAGGGGTGGTCACACCTCATTAAGGCCTGGCTGTCCCTGCCCCTGCCGGCCACATGTGCCATCATCTTGAGTTACATGTACACAATGTACCAAGGAGGCTTAGAAAACAAACTGACTCAGTGACTGCTTCTTTACAGTCAGTGTGGATCTTTCTCTATTCATCTACATTTACATGTATAACTAAATACTATAAGGAAAGAAGAAAGCATGTAAATGTGGATAAATAGAGAAAGGTCCACTTCATACATATAGGGAACTACAAATCCTTGTTAATTCAGTTTTGTTTGGTTTGGTCAAGGAGGTTATAGGTATTGAAACTTCTTTATTTTAGTATGGTATACTATATAATGCCGAGCACTCAGCTATAAGTACATGTGGAAGGGTAAAAATAGATGCAATCCAATTCACCTTCGTTGAAGTGACATGCATGTACATGTACCTGTAAATGTTACACAAGAACCCGTCAAAGGAAACCTGTGAAGGCCAGGGGAAAAAAGTTGCTAGAGGGGAGGGCCAGGGAAAACCTTTTCTGCCTGACTTCCTACGCACCGGCCCTCCCCCCGGTAAATAACGTACGGTCCCTAAATGAACACAGACCAAGACTATGCACCTCTGCATTACAGTTAGGCTAATCCACAGGAACATGTAACAAATATTAGTCCTGAAACACTAGGAGCAAGTATCCACCCCTGAGTTGACTAACTAGTGGCTTGCCCTGAGTTGACTTTTTGACTAACTAGTGGGCTGCCATACCAGACCACCTGATGTGGTCACACAGGTCACCTGATACAGACTATCCCTTTTGTCCCCAAATGTGTGTCCAAGGGCTATCCCCATACAAGTATACAAGTTTAGAAACACTGATGATAGAACTTAGAAGAACAAGGATTACTAAATAATGGGGAACAGATGCCCACACTAGT